CAAGGAGGGGGACTCCCCATCCCTTCCTCCTGCAGGCTAAGCAGCAGCTGGCATCGCTCCAGCAAGGTGCAGGGATGTCCTGGGCACCAACAGGGTCCTCGCAGTCACCAGTGCCCCGCTCGCTGTTCGTCACTGCTGGCTCCTGCTGCCACCTCTGCTGGGTTCCGTGGGTCACCTCTCTGGGTCCTGTGTGCCACCTCTGCTGGGTCCTGTGTGCCACCTCTGCTGAGTCCTGTGTGTCACCTCTGCTGGGTCCCGTGGGTCACCTCTGCTGGGTCCTGTGTGTCACCTCTCCTGGTTCCGTGTGTCACCTCCCTGATGCGTTTCCAAGGGGCTGCAGCGTCCAGGCTGTTCAAAAGGGGACAAAACGATCCTTGAGGATTTGTCCCAGGGGAGAGCCCAAGCCAGTACAGGGAGGGTCCAGGGAATGTCTGGGCTGGCTGGGCATGCTGAGGGGGCTCTGGTGAGGATGGGCTGTTTTCCCTAAAGCTGGAGGAGGTGTCACTGCTGATGTGGAAGTGTGTCTCCGTTGAGCATCACAGTTCTTCAAACACCCAGCAGTGACCTGTGACAGAGGGGACAGAGATTAGATCAGATCCTTCCTGCTGGCCCCAGAATGCCCAGAGACCTGCCCAGCCCCCTCTGCCCCCCACCAAACCCTTGAGAGCTGCACCAGGTGGGCTCAGCACCCACAGGAATGGGCTGTGCCAGGCTGTACCTCCTGCACCCACTACCACAAATCCAGGATGGTACCAAGCTGCAGGAAACAGCAACCCTGGCACCCAAATCCTGCAACTGTCCTTGGCATTCACATATCCTGGGCCAGGATCCCATGCCCTCTGTGGAACTCCTGGCTGCCCAAGGCCCCTGTGCCCCCACTGTTCCCCAGCCCCAGGGAATTTGCAGAAAATCAGGCTCCAGCTGAGTTTAGCCCAAATCTGGCAGGAAGTCACAGCAACAAATGAGTTGAATGATTGGATTAATGTTCCCCCCTCCTCTAGACAGATGCGCTGGGCCCAGCTCTTCAGAGGCAACTGAACTCCAGCATATCCTCCCTTGGTCAAACCTCTCCCATGGGATGAAGGCAGCAGCATCCCAAATTCCTGCCCAAGCACCAGCACCACAGATGAGAGGCTGGAGGGAAGAGGCAGAGCTGGTATTTGGACAATATATAGGCTGGATTAAAGCATGGCTGGAGCTGAGAACCCAGCCCAGGGCTGATGCTGGAGCCCACAGCCCCACCTTCCCTAAACCATCCCAGACAAGGAGCCAGGTGGGGATTCACAGTCCTGTGGGGGAACTTCAGCCCTCTGCAGCCAGGTGAGGGTCCCCAGCAGCAAGGGTGAGTGTGACACTGCCAACCCAGCCACCATGGGGACCTGCCTAGCCCTGTCACCATCTGTGCTGGAGCACAAACCATGAGCAGGGCTCAAGCTGAGCAGCAAAACACAACATGAGAGGCCCAGGGTGAGCAGTGCTGCTCTGGAGCTGCTTCTGGCCCCACTCCAGTGTTAAACTTTGCAGATGAAATGCTCAAGGATAGGCCTGAATATTCGGAGTCTGAGGATGCATGTGAAGCTGTGGCTGCCCCATCCCTGGCAGTGTCCAAGGCCAGATTTGACAGGGCTTGGAGCAACCTGGGCTAGTGGGAGCTGTCCCTGCCCATGGCAGGGGTGGGACTGGATGGACTTTAAGGTCCTTTCCAGCCCAAACTAGCCTGGGATTCTGTGTCACTTCCCTTTCAAACTCTCCCCCACACACACATGGATAAAAAGGACCTGCACACAGGCCTGGCCCAGAGCAGCCTGTTCTGGCTCTTTGGGCTGGATGAAAGCTCTTGTGCCCAACAGCTCAGGGGCACAGCAGGGACCTGCCCTGATGAAAGGTGACACTTGTGAGGAGGTGCCTTTGTCACACCAGACACTGCCAGGGCAGGGGAATCAGAACTCTGCTCTTTGGATGACATTGGCTCATCAGCTGAGAGGAAGTTTGACACAAAAAACTCTCTAAAAATAGAGAGGCTCTGGCAAAAGCAGCAGCCCCTCACTGTGCCTCCTGTGTGATGCTGAGCCAGCTCCAGGGGACAGAGCTGTCCCACAGGTGGTGTCCTCCCCTCCCTTCACAAGTTGGATCCTCAAGTGGGATAAAACCTGTTGTGGACATGTGACACTGTCCTGAATCTTGGAGGGGCTGTTGGGATGTGGATGACCAGGGTAGCTGTGGATTCATGGGATAACCGCACTGAGGACATCCCATCTGTCCTAGGGTGAGGTTATGATGGTTTTATCCCCAATCATGTGTTCTGTTAATGCTGGATATTCTATTCTGTGCCTTCAACACTGGCTCTGAGAGCCAAGGTGGGGAGAAGAAGAAGCACAGAGTTTGTTATCAGGGACTGGATTCACTCCTCCAGAGGCTGCTGGAACTCAGAACTCCACTGTGGTGCCTGGGCACAGACAGAGCAGAGCAGGGCCCTCCTTTGCTTTGCAGTTGGTTTAGCTGGCTGAGGCAGAGTTTTCCCTGGATTGTCTTTTGTTCCTTCCCTTTTCTTGGAACTGTTCAAACCTGCTCTGGATTGGGCCCTGGGGAGCACTGAGAGCTTGCACTTTGTGGCCATGGGGGCCTGCTCTGGGCAGCAGCCTTTCCCAGTCCCAGAGGGATTGATAACAGAGCGAGCATCAACAGGAGAGACTTTCTGAATATGTTGTCTCTTCAGAGCTGTGACTGAGTTTTGTCATTGGGTGTTGTTCACTTTTTGTGCTGGGGAGTGCTTTGCCCACTAAATAAACAGGTTCTCTCCACTTCTCTCAGAGGAATCCTTCCCAAACCAGTTGAGGGGAGGGGCTGTGTGGGTTTGCTTTCTGGGGGGGCCCTTTTGGAGGTTTTCTCCCCAATTTGCCCTAAACCAGGACACCATCCCAGCAGGATCCCACAAAAACAAGGTTGGTGGAGCAAAAGACACGGAGTGAGGGACCATTCCAGCCCCTGCTCTCCTTGGGTTGAGTTGGACATGAGCCTCATCCCTGTAATTCAGCAGGGAAAATGCTTTCCAGTTCTACAGCCCCTAATGAACAGTCCCAGGGGTACCCACAGGCATAGGGCTCCCTGCCAGCTTTCCTGGGGTTAAGAGGTCCCAGAGTCCAGGGAGATCCAGGGCCAAGAAGAGCAGAAACCAGTCCTACCCCAGGGCTAAGCCCTGTTAATTTGGGTGCAAATTGACCCACCTAAAGGAGGTGACTTGCATGGCCCCTCCTCTGCTGTGTCTCTGCCTGAGGGATGAGCATGCAGAGGGAACACCCAGGCTGGGCACAGCCTGGCAGCTCCTGAGCACGACCTGAATGGCAGAATGAGCCCCATGGGCATGGCCCCAGCCAGCTGCTGGTGGGGAACTGGGAGAAATTAGCAGATGAATTAAGAGATATTAATCAAGGCACGGAGGGAAGAGCCCTGCAAGCCCTCAGGGAAGGGAAATGCTGCAGGGAATGACCAAGACATAAATCTGACCTGAGAGATGCTGGGATGGAAATTTATCCCAGCTGCAGAGGAGAGACACCCTTACCATGAGGAGACTCTGCAGATGCCAATTCCAGCAGGGCCATGGCAGCCTCCCACACCCCATGGGGCTGGACCCACACAGTGCAGCAAGAGGCACAGATTTACATCCAAGATTTTCCTTCTGCTTCCCCCATGGTTGAGCTCGTGCACGAGTTGTTCTGGGGGGTTTTGTTTCACTGCAAACCTGCTCCTGCCCACAGTCACATCCTGTTATTCCTGTGTGCTTGTGCAGGGAGATGGGGAGATGAGCACAGCTGGTCCCTCAGCCTGGGGAGGGTGCTCACAGAATCACAGGGATCTCAGACAGCTGCTCCAGGGTGGACTCATCCCATTCCTCTGGTCTCCCAAAGCCTCTGTGCCCTGTCCCTCAGGATGCTCAGTGAAAACTCTCCTGCCCAGGGCTCTCTGTGCCTCCCAGGATGCTGTGGCACTCTGAGAATCCTTCTGCCAGAGGGTCCCTGGCAGGTAAATCCAGGGGCATGCTCTGCCACCTCTGAGTGTGGCTCTGGACACAATCCAGCCCCATGTGCCCATCCTGGCTGGAACCATGGCAAAATCCAAGAGTGGAAAATTCCCTGCACTGCAGTGGGACCATCCACCTCCATGGACAGACACTGAGCTGCCTCCAGCATCCCCATCATGGATCCATTCCTCCAACAACCACAGGAACTCTCCCACCCCATGGATTTGTGAGTGATCATTTCTGGATCAACCACTGCAGCTTTCACAGCAACACCACGAGTCCCAGGAGCAGCCCAGGCTCTGGTAAGGGCCAACACCCAGAGTCAGGGCAGATGCAAAGGGTTTGTTTGGGATGGCACAAGGAGTCAGGACCAAGTTGGGTTTGATCCCTGCTGTACTCAAGGCCTGTGGAGCAGGGAGTGAGCTCAGTAAGCAACAGGCAGAGGTGAGAGTGCAGGGATGTGCACACAGGGCCAGGGATACAGCAACAGCCATGCAGCCAGGATGTGCATACAAGCAGGAATGTGCAGGATGTTCCTTTCCAGGCTCAGCTCCCCTCATTTCTGTCCCACCTCAAACCTTGGGCTTTCCTCCATGCTCCACCTCACCCATTGCCAGGTGCCTCTCCCGTTCAGCCCAGCTGAGGGGGCACACCCAGGCTCTGTCCCTGCCCAGCAAAGCTCAGCAGCTCCCAGGCAAACCCACACATGCCAGCGGTCACTCTGAAGGACCTTGGGGACGTCAGTGTGGGTGACAGCCCAGACACCCCCACACTCTGCTGTGACTGCAGCAGCAGTGAGGGCACACCCAGAGCAGCTCTGTGCTGCAGGAGGTCAGAGGGGCCTGAGCTCGCTCCCAATTAGTGCCTGTAAATCTCAACCTTTCACAGGTCTCTGGGAGAACTCCCTAAATGCTCCTGCCTCGCTTTAGAGGGCCTTAAGTGCTGGGATAATCATCGGGTAGAGACTGCAAGGAGACAGCTGGGAGCTGAGCAAACACACACTGCACAGCTCCAGCCCTTGCTGGGTATTTTTAGTCCCGTGGGGCTGCCAGGCACAGGCTTGCTGGGAGCAGCTTTCTTGCCAGGGAAAACGTGCTTGCTTTACTATCCCTCCCCCCTCCACCCCAAAATGCTGCTTTCCCCACTTTTGGGGATGGAGAACAGCACCATCCCATGTTGCCTGCTCAGAGAGGGCACTTCCTCACAGGTGTGGAGCAGCTGATGGGGAGCAGAAGGGGGTTTTGCCCTGGAGCTGATGATTTGCTCAGCCCAGCTCAGCAGTGAGTCAGGCTGCCTGTAGGATGCTGGGTCCCAGGGAGCACCCTGGCTTTCCCTTCCTAACAAGAGAAAGAAGCACCCACAGCTTTACCCACACACAGGGGATAGAGACAGCCTCGTCCTTCCTCTCTGAACGGCTCCACTCCCATCCCAGCCCTGCCAAGAGGAAGAGAAAAACCTCGGTGGCTCTGTCAGCAGGACCATCACCCAGCAGGCAGCTGGAAAAGAGGGTTAATGCACTCCTTGGAGGCAACAAGCTCTCAGAGATT